TATTTAAAAGCTGCAGCTCTATGGAGGCTGGCTTGTATGTCATTTTTATGACAAGATCTGAAAGTGAAAAAAAGTTAGACACATTTATTAAAAAAAGTAAATGTAATCCATTTTAAACTAACCTAGAAACATAATCATATCACTTTTTATTTCTTCAGATGAGGCAACAAAAGTGGGTTGCAGTTTTTGTTGGATCCATGAGGAGAAGCATCAGGATCAGACAAGTTCTAATCGAGTTGAGTTTCATACACTCACAGCACATGTGTCAAAGTCAAGGCCCGTGGCCAAATGTGGTCCTTCTTAACATTTTATAAAAATGTTGTAAAATATAATTTGGAAAAGGTAATTTGTATTTCAGTAGGAATAATTTTATATAACATTTAAAACCAAAGTTTTTCCCAATAAATATTGGCAGATTGGGCTTTGGATTGGACCAAGTTTGACTTTTGTCCTCCTTGTGTAACTGAATTTGAGATTATATCGATACCAAGATGAATATCGGAATTGGATCAATATGAACATGGAAAGATCAATATTTCTGTTGACACTGTATTTGAATTTCTGACTTAGTTTTTTTACAAATATTGTGTACAAACAGTGAAAGTGCAGTGTCTACAAATGCTTCGTTAGTCATTATCTGAAACCCTCTACACCATGTGTGCAGTTGAAGATCATTTTATCATATTCAACTAACTTAAAGCATCACAAAATTATCAATGAACATGACATTTCAAGTAAAACCTATCAGCAATACTAGCCCAGTATTTACTTGATATCGTTTTGTTACCAAAATTCCCAGTATTGCCCACCCTTAGTTAAAGCAGGTAAAGGTGGATACATACATGTCCACCCCTTTAGACGTTTACCTTTACACTGACCTTCAAAAATCTGTAGTTTTCACAAAAAATCTGTAGTACCCTCACATGATATGTGTTCGTTGTTGGATGAAAAATAAATTTGAAGCTGAGCATTTGAGGAAATCTGCGATATTTCTCTATACGTCCTGCAAAGTGGGGAAAATCCGTGTAATTTAAAGACAATCCATGCTTGTTGACGTATGTGGATATGATGTGGGCGGAGTTTGGCAAGAAATAATGTGCCAGAGTGTAATTTTGCAAGGTGTGCACACTTCAATAAGCGGGATTTCAACTGAATATTTACCTATTGTCTCACAACCTTTTGACATATTTGAGTCACAAGACATTGAGATACTGCCCTAAACATGATAGCGTGTTGCATTCATGCTTAGAAATGAAAGTGCCCAGGTAAAGGACAAAACAAAACGTTGAGAGCCTAAAACATTAAAACAAACCTATCACATTTTGTCAATGAACAATGTGCTCTCTCTGTCKCTATGTTGCACTCACTCAGCAGCTTCAGCGACAGTGAATCTGGCTGATTCAGTGCTTTCTAATAAACTTTATCCTGTCTCCTACCTGAGTGACGGTAGCCTGATACCCCTCTGGTCAAGCCTGTGCAGCATTTCATGCTGTGCTGGTCCACAAACTCCATTTTTATTTTATTTTTTTTAGCAAAGATGATTTTTCCTTTTCGGTAAATTAAGTCAAGCGTGTTCTTTCTCTTACCTTTAAACCAGGAAACCGTTGCTGTGGCTCAAAAAACTTGAAAAGCAGTGTTTTGTACACATTGGGGAGTGACAATGATTGACACACACTTTAAAAGCTGTAAAGCAGACTTTGAGGAGCCAGTGTTCATTTGTCAGCCTTGAAAATGGGACTAATCGGTTTTAAAATAAGATTTAAGACACAACAGATGAATTATGACACGGAAACATATCTGTGTTTTTCTATATTTACCGGGCTTCTTAGTCACAGAATCTTCTGAAGGTAATAAAAGGCAGCCTGGAGTCACATTAGATAATTATTGTTTGTATTGTAATAACCAAAATCTCTTTTTCTCTTTTTCGATGGTTAAAACCATCCCTTTGGTTTAGTTCCTCACCTCGACCTATTCATTATTTATTTTGACGGAGGCTTCAGGTTGGTTCCTAAAAAACGAGGTAAACCACTCGTGTACTGCAGGGATGAACTGAATGATTTGGTGAATCTTTTGAACCAATTCTTTTCGCAGGGATTCAGTACACTCAAACGAACTGCCATGCCCACGGGTGTACTGGAGGCAACACAAAGATGACCCCCATCTTCCACGACAGCAACCTGGAACCTTTAGACACGATCAGACTGTTTGAAAACTAATCACTTATTAGCACACACTCCCTTGGCTAAAGGGTCATATCCATTTTCTCAATAAGCTGCTTATAATAATCCTTACATCAGATTATCTGCATGAAAACAACATCCTGAGTGTCATCATGAAAACTCAGCTGCAGGAGCAGAACAAATGATTAAAAAAATGAAACGGGGATTTATTTGGGATGTTGACAAAACATTGAATTATCTTGGATCAAGGCTCAGATACACTAAAAACTAGAAGCACTCAGAGAGTGCAAACCTCCGCCAAGACCAATTTCCCCCATCCTGTAAAAGAGTTACAAAGGGGCACACCAATGCTACAGTACCACCTGCTGGACACTTTGAAACCCACGCCCTGTGAAAGCATCACAGCTTTGCCGATGTCAGAGTGTTAAAAGAAAAATAATTCCTGTATCCGCATCGTGATCCGGAACATCATCAAAAATTAAAGGTGTGTTCCTTGGCCCAGTACCCACATGTGGTAAAAATGTCATGACAATCTGTCCACATGTTTTTGAGTATTGTTGTCCAAAGACAGAACGACAGAACGACACACATACGCGACCGAAACAATTACCTCGCCCTTGGCGGAGGTAATGACTGCAAATAGTATGTGTGTTTTTTTTTTAAAGATATTCCCTGTGAACTTTTTTTTAATTACAGGAACTGATTTGCATTTCTTACAAAATATTTGTTTCTATTTTTAAACCCACTGTATGTTTAGTCAGTTTTTAAAAAGGCAAATTGTTTTTGATGCTTATATTTCCTGTAATTACAGTAAAGAAATCAATAAGCAAGCACAACTCGGAAACTTAAATTATTTAGCATTTCTAAAACTAACTTTTGCATTCTAACTTCCTAAAAATCATATTTATATTAGTAATTTTATTGCCATTTTCTATGCAGTCTTCATTTATCAGTACAGAAATTAATGAAATTAAAGCTAAAACATTTTAAATTATTGGACATTACTGTATTTTTATTACATTTTATTCTTGTAGCTCTGATGTTTTAGATAATCTATCATTATTAAGTATTAGTTACAATTATTGTTTTTTTAACAGTGGTTAGACAGGATGCATTCAAATACTTTCTTTGTTTTTGGTCATAATGGCATTTATCCAGGATTTTTGTGGGAGTTTGATCAAACACTACTGTACTTTTGGTAACACACATGATGTAACCATATTTCAGATAAATTCCTGGTCAGGAACCAAAAATCCACAATAGGAATTCAACATATTATTTGTACTTTTGTCCAAAACATCCCTGCAAAACTGCAAAACAAGTTTGAGCGTGATAAATACTGTTATTTTTATTATTTGACTGCATTATAAACAAATTTTCGGTCTAAGGCTGAATGTTTACCATCAGAAAGATGCATATTTAAAGTAAAGATGCTGGTTTCTATGCTGATTTTAATGACAGATTCAAAATCCCATTGCCTTCCATAGGATTAGGTCCAGCGGGCTCTGGTTTAATTTTTAGGAGAATCAAGAGGACAGACAGTAAATCCCTTCAAAAACTCCGTTATACGAATCTGATTGAATCATTTCATTGAACTTTTCAGCCGAGGGTCATATATCTTTTATACATTAAAGGGTCTGAACAATAAAAAAATAAAAAGGATTTAAAAAAAAGTGGAACCACAAGATTCAGAGGTCAAAAGTATGAGCAGTTATGAAATCCCAAATATTTTTGTTTAATCCAGGGAACATGCTCCAGGGACAAACTGAACAACAGCATCGCAGGCAGGAATATTTATCACCATCTTCCTGGATAAATAGGTTCTTAGAATTATGGAAATACAGAAAAATAAGTTGGACGGTTGTTGTCAGAGGTAAGATATTTATGATCTTTTTCTGATTTAATGTTGAAGTAACGTGGAGTATATTAAGTTTAATGCTTTGTTCCTGACCTTAATAAGAAGCAGAGAAATGTAAAAACACCCTGATGCAGAACTATGTGCAGTTTCCCTTTAATCTTCCTGTCCTTTTTTATTAATTCCTCATAAAATGTWAATATACCATCTTGAGTGCAATCATTAGAAGAGACAGCTGCACATTTTATATAAGATGTCCCTGGGACAGGAAAAGTAATTATTGGACATATATAAGCTCAGCTTGAGCCAAAAATAAGAGCAAAGTATTCAGTCATGAAGAGTGCAGCCTCGRGGGCATCTGAACATTTTCTCAAGATGTTCATAAATCACTGTTTCTGATTACTGATGACATCCAAYGTGACTTTAATTCCAACTTAATCTCACACTAATCTTAAGATTTACAAATATTTTAACAGAAAAAAAAGTAATCATCACAGCTGTGGTGAATGTAATAAAAATAATAAAAGCTGTCATATAGTCTTTAGGGTGTGTGTATGTTTTATGGGAACGGTTTGAAATTCTTTAATAGATTATGGCAACAAAGAGCTGCTAGAAGGCAAGCTTCTGCATGGTTTACGTTCATATAAAAATGTACAATCATCACTGTCAGAGGATAGAAACACAATCTGGCAGGACTTTTGTAGCCTGATCACACAAAGTTTTACAGAAACCTGATATTTCTTTTTTTCCACACAATCACAGAAAGTCTGTTGTTGTAAAGCTTTCTCTTTAAATCATCATCAGTCGTTTTTCTACACATTTTACGATATATAATCATTTCTGGTTCTGGATGTTTTTTTTTATTATTTACAACACTAGCTGACATTTATTTTACATCTTTAGCTGATGATACCTTGGGCAACGAAGCTTTTGTCTCATGACGAATCAATAGATGGGTTTTAATGAAACACACAGAAAGTTAGATTTACAACTGATTAACTTTTGGAGTCAATCCAATTCAACTTTTTCATTTCTCATCATAACATGATCTTAGCTCAAAACTCAGGTGGTGAGTGATGAGCATTACTTCAGTGTACAAATATAATAAAACACCCATTTTAAGCTATTATCCCACTTGGGCGGTTCACGTTAAATTTAGACCCTCTATCAGAGGACTGGGAGTTTTAGACTGAAACTTTT